CTCACCTACTTCTCAGTTCCCATTCCCTCTCTTTTCTTTCAGGCAGGTTGGAAAAGGAGAGCCCGGAAAACGAGAGGTTCTAATGTTGCATCGAGGTTGCGGGGAAGTGTCTGTAATCAGAAATCTGGGGTGTAATTATATGATCGCCAGAAGAAACAGGCAGGTGAATGAGCCTCCAGAGCCCGATTGCTAATGAATTCTCTCTGTTCCTTATGGAAAAGAGCCCCATTTGTAAAATTAAAAGTCAGTGCCTCTTTGATGAGAAGATTTGCATGCTGCCGTCCTTTTCTCCTGTGTTGTGCATGTGGAAGGGAGAGCGGAAGCCGGCCCTGTAGACAAGGGCACTGGAACGGAGCAGGCAGCCTGCTTTCCCCTCGTTTCAGGGATGTGTGAGCCGTTTTCCCAGAGAACTTGATCGGGGGTATGTGCCTGGCTGTGCTGGGGAACAGGGCCTTCTGCACACAATGCCGACATGCCAGTCGATTCAGAGGAGAAAACCATTGAGAACAGCCTTTTGGCATTGCGTAGCCACAGTGAGTGGTTGGCTGAGTTTTTCACTTCTTATCCTGCTGCCAGGGGGCCACGCTGAGCGTGTGGGTATGTGTTCCCGCTGACGAAGTGCAGGGGCAGCGGCCACCAAGCAGCGCAGATATTGCAATGATCTGGTGGTAGAGTTTCTAGTGGAAACACTTAAAATTCGAGGAGACCAAGAAACATCTACTTCATAGACCTGCAGGGTTACCTGAAATCCGACCTTTGTATTTTTTTGGGGCACAATGCCACCGATTAGCAGCTGCCTGAGCAGACTGGAAGCAAGGCCTGCGGACAGCTGTTTGCCGCCGCCATCCGTGCAGGCTGGAGAGAGCCATGTTTAAAGTTTCCGGAAATTTGTGAGCTGGATGTTAAACGCAGCCTTCATTATTAATGATTTGATTATATAAACTTATAATTCCATAAATTATACTAGAAACAAAGGCAGTAAGTATGCAGAACTTATCGTTTCCTAATTATTTTACAATGATGGATACCTGCAGGCTATTTACACCTATGGTATCTGTG